TGTGTATCACACAACACATCCAGTGTACCACACAACACACCCAGTGTACCACACAACACACCCTGTGTATCACACAACACACCCTGTGTACCACACAACACACCCAGTGTACCACACAACACACCCGTGTACCCACAACACACCCAGTGTACCACACAACACACCCAGTTGTACCACACAACACACCCAGTGTATCACACAACACACCCGTGTACCACACAACACACCCATGTGTATCACACAACACACCCAGTGTACACACAACACCCAGTGTACCACACAACACACCCAGTGTACCACACAACACACACCCAGTGTACCACACAACACACCCAGTGTACCACACAACACACCCAGTGTACCACACAACACACCCAGTGTACCACACAACACACCCTGTGTACCACACAACACACCCAGTGTACCACACAACACACCCTGTGTACCACACAACACACCCAGTGTACCACACAACACACCCAGTGTACCACACAACACACCCAGTGTACACACAACACACCTGTGTACCACACAACACACCCAGTGTACCACACAACACACCCTGTGTACCACACAACACACCCAGTGTACCACACAACACACCCAGTGTACCACACAACACACCCAGTGTACCACACAACACACCCAGTTTACCACACAACCCACACCAGACCCAGTTACCACACAACACACCCAGTGTACCACACAACACACCCAGTGTACCACTAACACACCCAGTGTACACACAACACACCCAGTGTACCACACAACACACACCTGTGTACCACACAACACACCCAGTGTACCACACAACACACCCAGTGTACCACACAACACACCCAGTGTACCACACAACACACCCTGTGTACCACACAACACACCCAGTGTACTACACAACACACCCTGTGTACCACACAACACACCCACTGTACCACACAACACACCCAGTGTACCACACAACACACCCAGTGTACCACACAACACACCCAGTGTACCACACAACACACCCAGTGTACCACACACACCCAGTGTACCACACAACACACCCAGTGTACCACACAACACACCCAGTGTACCACACAACACACCCAGTGTACCACACAACACACCCAGTGTACCACACAACACACCCAGTGTACCACACAACACGCCCAGTGTACCACACAACACACCCAGTGTACCACGAACACACGCCAGTGTACCACACAACACACCCGTGTACCACACAAACACCCTAGTGTACCACACAACACACCCAGTGTACCACACAACACGCCCAGTGTACCACACAACACACTAGTGTACCACACCACAACCCAGTGTACCACACAACACACCCAGTGTACCACACAACACACCCAGTGTACCACACAACACACCCATGTGTACCACACAACACACCCAGTGTACCACACAACACACCCAGTGTACCACTCACACACCTAGTGTACCACACAACACACCCAGTGTACCACACAACACACCCAGTGTACCACAGAACACACCCAGTGTACCACACAACACACCCAGTGTACCACACAACACCCAGTGTACCACACAACACACCTGTGTTACCACACAACACACCAGTGTACCACACAACACACCCCCCCCCCCCCCACACCCTGTGTACCACACAACACACCCTGTGTACCACACAAACACCCTGTGTACCACACAACACACCCAGTGTACCACACAACACACCCAGTGTACCACACAACACACCAGTGTACCACACAACACACCCTGTGTACACACAACACACCCAGTGTACCACACAACACACCCAGTGTACCACACAACACACCCAGTGTACCACACAACACACCCATGTGTACCATACACAAAACACACCTCAGTGTACCACACAACACACCCAGTGTACCACACAACACACCCAGTGTACCACACACAACACACCAGTGTACCAACAACACACCCAGTGTACCACACAACACACCCAGTGTACCACACAACACACCCAGTGTACCACACAATACACCCAGTGTACCACACAACACACCCAGTATACCACACAACACACCATGTGTACCACACAACACACCCAGTGTTCCACACAAACCCCTGTGTACACACAACGCACCCAGTGTACCACACAACACACCCTGTGTAACCACACAACACACCCAGTGCACCACACAACACCCCAGTGTACCACACAACACACCCAGTGTACACACAACACACCCAGTGTACCACACAACACACCCAGTGTACCACACAACACACCAGTGTACCACACAACACACCCAGTGTACCACACAACACACCCAGTGTACCACCAAAACACACCCAGTGTACCACACAACACACCGTGTACCACACAACACACCCAGTGTACCACACATCACACCAGTGTACCACACAACACACCCAGTGTACCACACAACACACCAGTGTACCACACACACACCCAGTGTACCACACAACACACCCAGTGTACCACTCAACACACCCAGTGTACCACACAACACCCAGTGTACCACACAACACACCCAGTGTACCACACACACACCCTGTGTACCACAAACACACCAGTGTTCCACACAACACACCTGTGTACCACACAACACACCCAGTGTACACACAACACACCCAGTGTACCACTCAACACACCAGTGTACACACAACACACCCAGTGTACCACACAACACACCCAGTGTACCACCACACACCCGTGTACCACACACACACCCGTGTACCACACAACACACCCAGGTACCAACAACCACCCCCAGTGTACCACACAACACACCCAGTGTACCACACAACACACCCATGTGTTACCACACAACACACCTCAGTGTTCCACACAACACACCTGTGTACCACACAAACACACCAGTGTACCACACAACACACCCAGTGTACCACTCAACACACCCAGTGTACCACCACACACCCAGTGTACACACAACACACCCAGTGTACCACACAACACACCCAGTGTACCACACAACACACCCGTGTACCACACAACACACCCAGTGTACCACCAACACACCCAGTATACCACACAACACACCCAGTGTTCCACACAACACACCCGTATACCACACAACACACCCAGTGTACCACACAACACACCCTGTGTACCACACAACACACCAGTGCACCACACAACACACCCAGTGTACCACACAACACACCCTGTGTACCACACAACACACCCAGTGTACCACACAACACACCCAGTGTACCACACAACACACCCTGTGTACCACACAACACACCCAGTGTACCACACAACACACCCAGTGTACCATACAACACACCCAGTGTACCACACAACACACCCTGTGTACCACGCAACACACCCAGTGTTCCACACAACACACCCAGTGTACCACACAACACACCCAGTGTACCACACAACACACCCCAGTGTACCACACAACACACCCTGTGTACCACACAACATAACATCACCAGTGTACCACACAACACACCCAGTGTACCACACAACACACCCAGTGTACCACACAACACTACCCAGTGTACCACACAACACACCCAGTGTACCACACAACACACCCTGTGTACCACACAACACACCCTGTGTACCACACAACACACCCAGTGTACCACACAACACACCCTGTGTACAACCACACAACACACCCGTGTACACACAACACACCCAGTGTACCACACAACACACCAGTGTACCACACAACACACCCAGTGTACCACACAACACACCCAGTGTACCACACAACACACCCAGTGTACCACACAACACACCCAGTGTACCACACAACACACCCTGTGTACCACACAACACACCCAGTGTACCACACAACACACCCAGTGTACCACACAACACACCCAGTGTACCACACAACACACCCAGTGTACCACACAACACACCCAGTGTACCACACACACCCAGTGTACCACACAACACACCCAGTGTACCACACACCCTGTGTACCACACAACACACCCAGTGTTACCACACAACACACCCTGTGTACCACACAACACCCAGTGTTCCACAAAACAAACCCTGTGTACCACACAACACACCCAGTGTACCACACAAACACACCTAGTGTCCACACTAACACACCCGTGTACCACACAACACACCCAGTGTACCCACACAACACACCCAGTGTACCACACAACACACCCAGTGTACCACACAACACACCCAGTGTACCACACACACACACCAGTGTACCACACAACACACCCGTGTACCACACAACACACCCAGTATACCACACAACACACCCAGTGTCCACACAACACACCCTGTATACCACACACACACCAGTGTACCACACAAACACACCCTGTGTACCACACAACACACCCAGTGTACCACACAACACACCCAGTGTACCACACAACACACCCAGTGTACCACACAACACACCCTGTGTACCACACAACACACCCAGTGTACCACACAACACACCAGTGTACCACACAACACACCCAGTGTACCACACAACACACCAGTGTACCACACAACACACCCATGTGTTCCACACAACACACCCAGTGTACCACACAACACACCCGTGTACCACACAACACACCCAGTGTACCACACAACACCCAGTGTACCACACAACACACCAGTGTACCACACAACAACCCAGTGTACCACACAACACACCTGTGTACACACAAACACACCCAGTGTACCACACAACACACCCAGTGTACCACACAACACACCCAGTGTACCACACAACACACCCAGTGTACCACACAACACACCCAGTGTACCACACAACACACCCAGCTCTTCTTGTAGAATTTTGTTTTCCTCTTCCCCTTCATTGTTGTTGTTCTGTTAAAAAAAAAGCGTTAATTGATCGTGATATTCAAATTTTTTCTGAGTACCCTTGTATACCTTTCTAGCCCTTGTTTATCTTATATATCTTGTACTCTCTTCCAATCGCTCCTAGTTTGGCAAGAAAGACAAACAGAAGCGCTCACACGTTATTTCTCTCTTCTAGAGTTATTCCAGCGTGTATGTGGGTTGACTCACATATGGGGTTGGCAAGTGCGCTTTTTTCGTGCGTGGATAGGAATGCGTCCTGTCCTTATGTTCTACAATGCTCCCTGTGTTGAGGTACCTCAGTTCTCCAAAACGAATTCAGAATGTAGATGGTGTCACGTCTTTATAAGTTTTATATCTGTTTTGAGGAGTTTCACGTTGAGTGCTTTATGTTGTTGGTGTAGTTGCCTATTTGTGAAGATTCATTTGTATTTATTACAATGTTTCAGTGACTGTAGTGATTGTAGTGCTTGCAGTGCCTCCAGTGCTTGCAGTGGCTGCGGTGCTTGTTGCACCTGCAATGGTTGAAGTGTGTTTAGATAGAAGAAATCAGCCCAACTTTCATGTCTGGCAATAGTACTGCATACATTGATACTCGCAAAACCCCCGAGGGCCATACAGTGCGTTAGGAAACAGTAAATCAGCCTTCAAGAGAGGCTGCTCGGTAACCTTGACCTAATCGCAGACTCTTAATAAAACAACAATTTACTTGTGGAGTCAATGTCCAACGCACTTCTCACCCTTTGTTTCTTTTAAGATCGTTTATCATATTTTGTATTCTTAATTTTCACGACAAGCACCAAAAAAAAAAAAGAGGGAAAAATATAATTTGCTGAATGAGCTGTTTCCACGTTGTTGATATTCATGAGATTTGTCTGTTTTTTTTAATGTGTTTTATTTTTATGTTGCTTCAGGTTTCGTCTTTATTATTTATCAACAACTGCTGCTGCTTCTGTCACTATATGTGCATTGTTACTGTCGTACTGTTGTATTGTTTTTGTACATGATACTTGTATGATTTGTATGATAATCTTATTTAGTATTGTGACAAATACTTCATTATAGTGAATTTACATATAGTGGCATATTGTCTGCACTGCCACTCTGGTGTATCTCTCTCCGTTAAAACTAGTAACTGAAGTTCAATGTTACAGTTGTTTATTTTAAAATTATGTTTATGTTAATTCAGTGTACATGAGTAATATTAATTATATATATATATAATATATATATATATATAATATATATATATATATATATATATATATATATATATATATATATATATATATATATATATATAATATTATATATTGTTATTATATATATTCTTAGTTTTATTATATGTTGTTTCATGTACACTGAATTATATAATATATGATATATATATATATAATATATATTTATATATTATATATAAATATATATATATATATATATATATATATATATATATATATATGCAAAACAACCAAATGGGGAGTTGAATAATAGTGCTCTAGGCCTTTCTTTTGCTATCGACACGTCATCAGGAGTTTGCAAAGTTACAAAAATTGGTAGGAAAATCTCAGCAGATTCGTTCCGAGGGACACTGAGGGTAGTAGAGGCGGGAAACGTTCAGAACCCAGGCACACGAGTGCCTAGTCGCAAAAAAATTAAGTATTGTAAGAACCTAGGATAGTCAGCCCACACGCAAAGGTAATGAATGGTAAACTAGCGAAATTAACGTTGTTAACATAATGGCTATCAAAATTATCAGTTGAACTTCAGAAATTATGGTATTTCAGTAATATGTTATATGGGGCTTTGCTCAGACCTGTGTTACCTGATTGTCTTGAAAGATTTGTTAAGCCATTCAAAATTAAGGAACAAATCCTAGACTTCACCTTACGAAAGCTGATAAAGCAAATGTGATAGTAATTATGAATAAGATAAATTACATTGGTAAATTGAACATGCTATTAGAGGATAGGGAAACTTACGCGCCCCTTCATAAGAACCCATTTTATCAGGTTAATAGCGAGTTTAATAAACAACTTAGAACCTTGCTGAAAGGTAAAGGGGAACTGATTAAACAGTTATCAGCTAGGTCGGCGACACTCCCTTACATGTACGTTTTGATTAAAACCCACAAGCCCTGTTTTCCAGCGAGGCCTATTATTAGCTCTGTAGGGTCGGCGGCCTTGTCAAAATGGTTAAAATATTAACTCCATTACTTGGCAACATCTTGGAAGCTCACATTAAAAACAATGTTGATCTCAATGACAAATTGCAAAATGTTAATATGTCTAAAAATTTTACGCTAGTAAGTCTAGAGTCACAGCTTTGTTCACCCTGTCCCTGATTTGTTATCTTATCTGAGGAAAAACCAGATGAGTTTCCCCGTGTCCATTTGACAAGAACATTATTATTGAGTTGATTAACTTGTGTGTGGTTGATTGCAAGTTTGAGTTTGGAGGGAAATATTACGCTTAAAGGCAGGGAATGGCTATGGGAAATCCATTGTGTCCCCTGCTGAGGAATTTATATATGGAGTTCTTTGAGACTAAACTGTTGAAAGATATTGTGCCCCGTCAAGCTAAGTGGTTCAAATATGTGGAGACATCTCGTGTTTTTGTCCGGATTATTTGAACCTTAATACATTTTTACCGAGACTCAACTCTCTTGTCCCCTCTATTAATTTTACCATGGAGAAAGTAGTGGACTTCAACTTCCATTTTTAGATATTTTGATCCACAGGCTGGATAGAATGTTTAAGTTTATAGTATATAGGAAGGCCACGAAGGTGTGTTCATATATCCACTGTTACTCCAACCATGAAACTAGAGTAAAAAGAAGTGCCTTCCTTACTATGTTTCTGAGAGCTTTACAGTGTAGCCCTGAGTTCTTGGATGAGGAAATTATGAAAATCTTTGACATTACTACAAAAGTATGTTACCCTAAGGAGTTTGTAGAAACCATTTGTTGGCAGCTAAAAAAACTTATCATAGGACTGAACCTAGAATAGCCCTTCGTAACAAGAATGTACATGTTTTAACATACAATGAAAATTTATCACTCCTGCTGAATACCCTAAAGAAACTCAAAATAGAAATTGTGTTTATGAATTCACGGACTGTTAAGAGTATGTTGATCAATAATTCTCCAAAACAGGATGTAGGTGGTGTGTACAGGAATGGTTCCCAAGGTTTCAACCTTTCCTGTGTCGGGCAGACTGGCAAACCTCTAAAGGTTAGAAATAAACAGCACCAGTACTCAGTAAGGATGACGCAAGAATCTAATTTGATATTCAACCACACACGAGTTTGCAATAATCCCACTAAGTGGTCTGAGGTAAAGGTCATTGTTCCATTGGCACTAGGCACTCGTGTACCTGGTTAGTGAATGTTTCCCCTCCTCTACCACCCTCAGTGTCCCTTGGAACGAATCTGCTTAGATTTTCTTACTCATTTCTACAATGCTGCAAGCTTCTAATGATTTGTTGATTGCAACACGAAAGGCCTAGAGCTATTATTCAACTTCCCCTGTGGTTGTTTTGCGTTCTGTGCTGCTTGGTCGCGATTCTTGCCTTATATATATTCTACTTTCAACGTAGCGGCCATATCCCACCGAGGTAGGGTGACCCAAAAGGAAAAACTAAAGGTTCTCCATTAAAATTTAGTAATATGTACAGGAGAACGGGTTAGTAGTCCCTTGCTCCCATAATACACACACACACACACACAAACACACACACACACACACACACACACACACACACACACACACCTGCAACCACAATTAGGTGAGTACAATTAGGTGAGTACACAGGAGGGTCAGGGGAGACATGATAACGACATATAAAATACTGCGCGGAATAGACAAGGTGGACAAAGACGGGATGTTCCAGAGATGGGACACAGACACAAGAGGTCACAATTGGAAGTTGAAGACTCAGATGAATCAAAGGGATGTTAGGAAGTATTTCTTCAGTCATTGAGTAGTCAGGCCATGGAATAGCCTAGAAAGGGATGTAGTGGAGGCAGGAACCATACATAGTTTTAAGGGAGGTATGATAGCTCATGGGGCAGGGAGAGAGACACTAGTACAATCAGCGAAGAGGCGGCCAGGAGCTGGAATCGACCCCTGCAACCACAAATAGGTGAGTACAAATAGGTGAGTACACATATATATACAATACCACAAACACACACACACCAACACACACATATATATAATATATATAAATTATATATATTATATATATTATATATAATGTGTGTGTGGTGTAGGTGGTACTCACCTCACCTAGTTGAGGTTGCGGGGGTCGAGTCCGAGCTCCTGTGGTGTGTGGTGTGTGTGTGTGTGTGTGTGTGTGTGTGTGGTGTTGTGTAGTGTTTGCCCGACCTGGGAAAAACATGGCTTGTAAACCAGGCTGTCTGACTTCTGAGGCATCTGTGGCCGACCGGTCTAAAGCATCACCTGAGGAAGCTTACCAGACTCCCCTGACGTGGTTTCGAATCTTGCTAGCCGCAATATACAAACACACATTATATATATATATATATATATATATATATATATATATATATATATATATATATATATATATATATATATATATATATATATATATATTTTATTAACACTTCGGCCATTTCCCATCAAGGTTGACATAAAAAAAGAAGCACTTTCATCATCACTCACTCCATCACTGTCCTGCTAGAGGTGTACAAACAATACACTTCAAGAACTGCAATATATCTCCACCCCTCCAGAGTGTAGGCACTGTAATTACCACCTCCAGGACTCAAGTCTGGCTAACCAGTTTCCCTGAATCCCGTCATAAATGTTACTTTCCTCACACTCTAAGAGCACATCGAGTCATAAAAATCATTTGCCTCCACTTGTTTCTATCTAACATGCTCACACAGGCTTGCTGGAAGTCTAAACCCCTCACACTCAAAACCTTCTTTATCCTCTTCCTCCAACCTCTTCTAGGATGAACGCTACCCCTCCTTTCTTCCACTACAGATTTATATGCGTCTCCAAGTCATTCTATTTCGTTCCAGCCTCTCAATCCTCTCAGTAATACGTTTAGGAACCCCACACCTTCTAATCTCCAAGCTACGGATTCTCTGAATAATCTCCACAATGCACAGTTCCCTCAGACACATCTTCACTTCCTCCAGTCTTGTTGCAACATTTACCAACCATGCATCACATCCTTGTAACATCATTGGTATCACTGTACTCTCATACATTTCCTCTCTTTGCTTCCATGGATAACCTTCTTTGTCTCCACAGGCTCCTCA